TAGCAAAGAATACTGTGAATCATATTACTAATGTCATAAGGTTCACACGAATGTGCTTCTCGCCTCTATGGGTATTACTAAGACGCTCGACTGCAGATGGAAATTATTACCGGAGAACGTGTCGAAAGTGTGCGCCCTCCATCAACAAAATTCCTTGTTCGGATAATATTTTTAAGAGAAAGGTCAAAGCTGGAATGGAATGCATTCTCCTAGAAAGATCTCTGTAAGGAAACAAAAATAAATTCAGGAAACGTGATATCGGTGAATGACGCTTCATGGTAAGTATACCATCAAGATAAGACGCTCGAGATAGCCCTTACTTCTATGTGCATGAACCCATACGAATACCAGAGCATGCTTGGACGTCACTTACTACCTTTCTCGCCCGGGCCATGACAAAGCGACCTATATTAAGACAACGCGTCGACCCACGTGGGCTGGTCCACCATGTCATGGATACAGAAGCGAAATTTGATTAGTATGGACTGACTTCAAACGTCAAGCAAACACCTGGACGACCGCCGGCCCGATGGTCAGACTTCTTCACGAAAGCTCTGAACGAAAGGAATGAAGAACACCGTGTCCCTCGAGCGAGGAGGGTCCACTGGACAACTCTTGCACGCGACAGGGACGAATGGAGACGTTGCTGGCGCCCGCTCGAGCAATTCGATGATCAACGGGACGACAGGTGATACAGGTGATGGACTGACTTGCTCGTGTTCATGAAGGAAGTCTCGCCGAAAACATCTGGAGCACTCTATTTCGATCAGTGAAAAATCCTTGCCGAAGTGACCGATCTCAAAGTAGCAATCAGACAGGTGTGAAACCATCTTTACGTGGAAATGCTGGATAGATTGGGGAATACATACTGAGGCGGAATTTCGAGAATATCTTCAAGTATGAAATATTAATTGATTGTCAAGGAGAATTAATAGTTTGTTCTGTCAGTGAAAGCATTGAATTTGCAGGCTGCGCTTATATTTATGAAATGGCCATCAACAGGTGCAAAATTCGATGCTTATTTTTTCTTGTGATGATCATGAAAAGGGCTCTGAATTAAGACAATTCAAACCGTAATTCCATCGGTCCTCTGATGTTTACATGTTTGTTAAATGCACAGATACCGGCTCAAATCAAAATTTTTAATCGAAATTCGAGCCATTAGAATCTTAAGGAGTCTCACAAATCCGTGTAGATTTGAACTGCTTTTTGAGTGAACTCTTATTTCTCCAGAGAACACCTTTTATCAGCGTCATCATTATAGGTGCTTTGCTGCCAAGGAACAACTAATGAATGGATGCCTTACTGTAAGAAGGCTCACTCTTTTACGCGACGAAAGAGAGTGAGGCCAATTCCGAGGGGCTACGCAACTGTGCTTTGAACGCAAGATGAGTGCAGAGCAAGAAGAGAAGGACGCGAGGAGCAACAATACTGTCGAGGTGCAGGACGGATTTACTAGGAGTTTCCAATAAGAAAAGAAGGCCGTTCAAGACGCGGAGCGCATTTGAACGTTTTTCTGCATGTTATAGGGGCACGGCATGATCATATGCTGAAAGAAGGACGGAGGTTTTTAAAAAATATAGCGTCCGTCTTTCATGAGTAAATCGCAGAGCAGAAGATAACATCTGTACACCGAATTTCCTTCTCCATCTCATAAGATTTGCGAGTCAATTCTCACAAACTAAAACGCTTCCCTCAAACTTCCTAAACGGACGACAGGGAATAAGCACCACTGTGAGTTTTACTATATTTTCTCCTATTGTTAGCTTTTCGGGTATATTGAGTCACATTTTCCCGATTGAATCGGGATGTATGCTAACTAACTTCAAGTCCGGATGCAGCATATCTACATAAATATGTATGTATATGTATGTCTACATGTAGTTTCCTTTGTTTACATGTGTGTTTATTTGCTTATTGTTTCTCATTCTATTCCGTACCCTTGCCTCATATTTTGTTCCGGTGTTCTTACCTCATATGTTTTCATGTTGTCCACATTTCATAAAGAAGATTGGATATCAAAGTTGTAGTTATGCGCAATTGGTATTTCAATCAATACCTGGGACTGTCAGGCGTCGGCAATGCCGATTGATTGGGTCGGGTGCCTCGGAAGAGTCGCGAGCGTGGGAAAGGCTACTCCGGGCCAATCATGGGCTATCGCACGCGAAAGGGTATATAAACGTGAGGAAGCGCAGTCGGAGCGTTCATTTACCGAGTGTCTTGGAACGGAGCGGTTGGCTCCCTTGGGTTCCACAGTCTAGAAGACTGAGACAGAGGGTTCAGAAGTAGATTCCCTGGCCCTGGGCATACGAGCGGTTCGCTCACTATCGATTCAACTCAAGGTACTGTCGTAGTACGACCAAGGCATCCCTCTCCCCTCTCATCGGGGTATTCTCGTGATATCGATTGGGTTCAATCGCCGCGTCTCCGACGAGCACCCCGACCCTTCGGTCGAAGTCGTATCGTATCCTATCCTAATTGGTACTAATAAAAGAGTTAGTAAACCACGTGTGCTCAGTCGTTCTACCGGTTCAAAGCCGTGAATATCTGGTCATTGTCGCACATATTGATTTGTATTTGAGATTCGAAACTATAAATAATGTCAGCCACTAGCCGCGGCCCACGAGAGCCCAAAGGATCCCATCTAAGTCGGATGACGGCGGACTCGCTTGCGCCGTCTATGCCTGACACTATTTCCGCGAAGTAGCAAAGGAGGCTACACCAAAGTGGTCCTGTTTGGCATCATTGTGAATGCGATCTAATCGCGTTACACCAATCGTCTAACGCAAAATCTTGGATACGCCGAGACGGGCTTCGATATCCTTAGTTGCACTCAGTGCCGTTAATTGCCACTGACCTAATGACTGTCCTACAGTTCGACTATGTATGGAAAGAAAACGCTACGATTTTTCTTCTACTTATCTGGAGCAATCCTCAAAGGGGCCATGAGGACTGTCACAACTGTAATCTCATCTACCAATGATAGCGAACGAGCCAAAGGGTCAGTGCCAGTTTTTTTTGTCTGCCCTATACCCAAAAAAAATCCGTTTTTTTCGTTGACGCGAAGCCATTAATTGAGGATACGAGGATCCCTCTTTAAAAACTGGGAATTTCGTAGAAAATAGAAATGGCTGCTCGACACTTGAAGGAGTGCCGAAGTAAATACCAACTATACTACTGAACTATTCCAAAAAAACACTTTTCAATACTCTTTCGGAGCTGAACCGAAGCGCAGCTTTTTCAGACGATTGTATAAAAATGAATGAGCATTGAGTTTCATGAACAAAGAATCTGTTCCCATATTAACTGAAAAAAATGTTCGACATAATTCTCCAATACTACGTTAAAGGCAGCGATTACGATAGCTTCTGGAGGGATCCGGAGGGAACATGGGGTGCACAATATTACGCCAATGGCGAAAAGAGCAGAGAAACCTGTTAAAAAAACGCAAAATGAAACCATTGTGCGGCCGTTGGAAACGGATGGGCAGAGGCTACGACGGCGGACATATGGACGAGTTCATCGCAACGCGTTGCCAATCCATGCTCCAGCCCAGCTGCTTCACTTGTGCCGCTGCTGGCAGCACAGCTCGTCCTAATCAATTGAACGAGTGGGTGGAGCGTTCTTCAAGTACTGCTTAGCAGTCAGCGCAACTTTCGTCATGAACGCGCTACACCTCGCTCACTTAGCGGCTAAGCTCCTGCTTCGTGTGGCGTATACAGGGGGGGGGGCAAAAAAGGAGTCACTTTCCTCTACATTCAAAACCAAAGCGAATGGGCCCAAGCTGCATATTGAAGAGCACATTCTAATCTATCAAAAGTTACATGACAGCCTTCTACACCGACGACATCAGAAGATTTTCCCACGGAAACATGGTTCACGGTACGAGCTTCGAGGTACCATAGACCATTACGACGTCCCTGAAACGCTGGTCAAAAGCGGTCTTGCATATTCACAGCTAGTGCCTTTAAGAAGTTATCGATTGAAGAGAATAATGTGGCAGCTTCAGGCTGGAGCGATTACAGTAAGCCTCGTCGAGACGGCAGATGACGTCATATTCTGAAGACTGTGGGGCAGTGAAGGGGGAGGGGGCTTCTGCTTATAGGGGGACACCTATGTAATATTTCGCCGTGAGAAGTTCATCAATAACGGCATCCATGACGAAAAATTTGTCGGGCTAAGGAACCCTTTTTTTGCCCACCTGTAGGCCGATGTCATAGTTTGCGAATCGAGCGATTCGCTAGCGAATCGCTCGAGCGTTGCGCCAGCGAATCGAACGTTGCACCAGCGAATCGAACGATGCACCAGCGAGTCGAACGATGTACCAGCGACTCGACACTGTTTGAAAGTGGCGGGACCCAACGTTTAAAGGAAGTCCACTTCAAAGGACCACACTGTTTGAAAGTGGCGGGACTTCCTTTAAACGTTGGGTCCCGCCACTTTCAAACAGTGTTGAGTCGCTGGTACATAGTTCGACTCGCTGGTGCATCGGTCGATTCGCTGGCGCAAAGTTCGATTCGCTGGTGCAACGCTCGATTCGCAAACTATGACATCGGCCGTATACTTCCCCGATGCGTTCCCTCTTTATTCTCACTACTCAATCACGTCATTCAGAACAATAACCTAATCATAAACCTTTGGATCATTGGAAAACGGAAACAAAGCATAGAACTGTCACACAAGAAAGAAAGGCTTCGACACCATCGAGAGCGTTCACAGTCTCAACGCATTTTTGAGCAGTTAGAAGCCTCGGCGTGACCTTAGATCTCAAAGCTTTTTAGCCTCATAGGCGGCGTAGGCCACCCAGCCAACAATGATCGCCACCACGGCGGCGACAGCTAACTTTGTTCGCTGGCAGTTCTCATCAAAACATCCCATGCTTACGGAAAGTAACCGCTATTGTAAATGCTTTTTTTGATCACAATCATTGTCTTCAACTAATAATGTAAAGGATGAGTTAGCACGACACAAGTTGCCGTTTCTTTCCATCTGTGACGAAATCACAATTTGCATTGAGTCAATGATATAGTGCTGAATTTGTATGTATAAAAATATGTAAAAAACGAACCGTATGCTGGACTTCGGCCACTGGTACTACCCGATGGCGAGTTGCTGTCGCTGTCAACCTTAATGTTGCCGGTTTGGCCCCATCTTCGCCCTGCATCCTTCTTTAACCGTTTTTCCTTCGCTCGTCGATTTTGGAACCAAACCTAAAACTATTACTAGTTTAATTGTGTTTCTATAGAGTGCCGCATTTGAAATCACGATTACGTTTGTCAAAACAAAAAGTAAATATAAGGAAACTATGTGAAACGGAATATCTCTACTAAAATATATATCGCATATAAAAAATGAAATCCGTAACTCTTTGAAGCGATTTTTATTGAAAGGTTACTCTATCATTCTTAGCCCTATCAAAATGACAATCAGAAACAAAACTCACCTGTACAACCCTCATATCTAAACCTGTTTCAGCTGCAAGTTGCTCCCTAACATGACGAGCCGGCTTGCTACTCGCAGTGTATGCCTTGAAAGTATTCGATTATTGGTGTGACAATATGTTTGTGCACCACTAATAGTGATTGTTCGAAAGAGTACATGTCAAATAGAGGAATGGAACTCGTATTTTTATCCACCACAGAAATATAGTTGACGATTGAGCGAAAGATAAGAGGAGCAATGGAAGTAGGGCAGTGCGCACCACTCGTAACAATAAAGAGGGAATGAAGATCACCATGAAGCTTGTAGAACTATGTATGAGGCATGCCATGTGCGAGACGAAAGCCACCGCGACTACAGAAAGACCATTCCCCTTGCACATTCCACATCAAGCACATCAGAAGCCCAAGTAGCATTTCCTCCCTCATTTTGTGAACTCTCGCCCTCCTATCCGCCCCTTTACAGTAGGACGACGTTGGTAGGATACACCTGTTATTTGAACGTTTTGTGTGTTGTGTTGTACATTTTTGTGAGACGGCTTTCATTTGATCTGAAGAAGGGCCTATATCCGAAACGTTATCACCAAATTCTCCTGTTAGTGTCGATCTACATCTATCTCACTTTGTAATAACGAAGCTCAGGAAGCCAACAATACTACCATAAAATGACTGCAAATGCTCTCAGGGCAACCAATACAATATTAGGTTGGTGCAAAAGTCTTGAGACACAAATTTACATGGATCGTCATGTCTCTACAAGAATCTTTGCCACCGTCATGATTTCACCATATTCTAGAACAATCTCAGAGTTACCGCTAGCAGTATTTAAATGGGTCCCCGAGCCCTTCTGGTATAAACCATGTCGCAATTGTCAAGAAGTCAACTTCGAGCAATCGTCTTCTACGAGTGGCGCCGCGGTTCCAGTGCTCGTTCCGCTGCCTCCAATATCAACACTGCATTCGGAGAGAACCTCGTCAGCCATGCGACGGTTAGTCGTTTATTCGCTCGTTTTCAGTCTGGAGATACGATGCTCGACGACAACCCCGCTCCGGGCGACCAGTTGTTATCAAAGACGACCGACTTCTCAGCGAGGTGAAGGAGAAGCCGGAGGCTACGAGCAGGGAATTGGCGGAGCTTCTCGAGTGCGATCACAGCAACGTCGTTCGACACCTTCACGAGCACGGTTACAGGAAAGTTTTTGCTCGATGGATTCCGCACCAACTGACCGACGATCTGCGTCACACGCGTGTCTCAATCGCGCAGTCGCTCCTCCTTACCCCAAATCGGAAGGAGTTTTTGCAGGATCTGGTGACCGGGGATGAGAGCTGGATCTTCTACGACAACAACAAGAGGGTCGCTGTCTGGCTCCCAAAAGGAGAAGATCCACCCAGCCCAAGCCAGGACAGCACTCAAAGAAGGTTTTGCTGTGCTGCTTCTGGGACTCAAAGGGAATGCTATACCATGAGTTGCTCCCTCAAGGCCAGGCAGTCACGGCTACCATTTACAGTCGCCAGCTCCAGGAACTCGCTTATGCAATCGAAGAAAAGCGACCGAGAAGGGTTTCTGTACATCTTCTGCATGATAACGCTCGGCCTCACGTCGCAAAGATCACGCAGTCCAGGCTACAGGAGCTCAGCTGGAATACCGTTCCCCACCCTCCCTATTCCCCCGACCTCGCCCCTTCTGACTATCATCTTTTTAGGCATCTCAAGCAATTCCTGGTCAAGAAGAAGTTCGCCACTTTTGTGACCTCAAAAATGCTGTGACTGACTTCTTTGACTCACAGTCCTCTTCTTTCTGGGAGAAGGGAATAGCCGACTTGCCTGCTCGTTGGACGAATGTCATAGATAATGATGGTGATTATATAGTTTATTGAGTTAGAGTTTGAATAAAATTGAAAAGATTTTAAAACACGCATCCGAGTGTCTCAAGACTTTTGCACCAACCTAATAAATATGCAATGTCGCTTTCGCTAGTAAATGATCAGAAGTTCATCTGCTTGTTCATATTCTGCAGTTCACCAATATTCTTCTCACTCTCTGGCTGATTTTAAAAGCTTATAGACGATTTTCGCATCCCAAGCCTACGCCGCCGTCATCCCTCACGGTAGGAAAGACCCCGCTGGAATGCAGGGGAAACCTCCACCAGCTCGTGGTCCAACCGACTCCATCAACCGCAGAACTCTCCTTGCGACACCTCAACCAATCAATATAGGAGCTAGGACCCATTAGGACTTAGACGCCACCAATCGACTCAGCGCTAGTAAAGGATCTATGCGTCGCAATATAGGATCCCTCGTCTGGAGCCCCTAAGAAGACCGGATTCCACCGCAGGCATCGCAGCAAAATAGGACGAGTGTGTGGCGGATTGCTTTTCCATATACTCATAATAGATATTTGTAGTACTTATGTTTAGTACCGTTTACTTCAGACCCGCGTGGAATAAAACATAGGCGAGTACGGTCACGCCACTATCGGAGAAGACCTCTCAAACAAAGGCAAAAAAACTGTAAGATCTGGTGAACCTTTCGTATAGCAGGAGCTGACAAAATGTAAGATGTCAATACCACGGTTGTCCCATGCCATAGCCATAAAATTATTTTACGTTTCTCGGGCACTCGACAGAAGGCCCACAGCGCGGCGAGCAGACTGGTAGGACGAGTCGCAGGGCGTTATGTGTAATGTGAGAAATGATATACTACGTCCTATTTAGGTTGTTGCGAAATTACCGCATACGCTCTGCGTCTCGTCCGCTGACCTGAACCAGAGTCAACCCTGCGTTGCGCAGTTCGCAACGGCACGTTGAGAGATCCTCAACGCACGCTGTATGGGCGGAGACACAGACGGCTCGAGCATGCGAGTGTGAATGTTCGCGCGAGAGAACGTGTCTAATCGGGCGAAACTGCGCAACGTGGCCGTTGAGAACTGCGCAACGCAGGGTTGACTCTGCTGACTACGTCTCTGCCGAGGCCCCGCACGTCGGGCTTCCTGTCAGGTGCAAACGCTTTTTTTCTCTCAAATCTTTAAGTTTTCTAAGTGTTAACCGCCCGAATTTTCCTCCTAGGCTCAGCCCTGTCGGATGTGAAATTGGGAAGGTGATGGGATACCTACTTCTGAGCCCACACCCTCATCGGGAAATCTGATATACCGACTCACAACTGTTTTTCACACCATCCAGCGCGAAAACCCATACAAAATACAAAAAAAAATCAAAAGGAATTCAAAACTCGAAACAGGAGCAGCACTGTAAGTCAAAAGGACTCTATGAGAGACCAGGAAGGAGATTTTGCGCTGATGCTGTGCATGCATTAGGCTCGTCAAAGAATGTGTCGCGAACTGTACCCTAACAGTAGCAAAAGCATCAATTGGCCTCTTGGTCAGCAGCAGGCTCAGGCCTCTGTGATTATCACAGCCACTATAGTCCGCCTGCGCACCCTCGCAGGTGAGTTGGTTCTATCCTCCGAGCCTACAGAGATTCTACCGCTGTGCACCAATCACACTCAGTAGCGGAGCTACCAGCGTCCCTCAACCGTAATCGGAAATATTCACATAAAACCGCACCAAGAACAAAAGGGATCGCACAAAACAACAAACAGGGAAGGCACACATGGTTTCTATAATAGCATCCATTATTAACCACTCTGAGCTATGTTCCACAGTAATACTCGTAAAATATTCAGTCTTTACTCAAAGTGCAATCCCAAAGGACTGCATACGATCGACGATGTCCTAACAGGAACCAATGAACAGGCTGCTCCCATATGGGAAGCTCGGGGCTAAAAGCTCCTTCTTGTCCCTCATCGCGGTTGCGTGATAGAAACCGATTGGCGTCGGCTTCGGCTAACTGATGTGCGCGAGAATGCTGACAGGGAATGAGAGATCCCGTGCGTAGAAAGGGGACATCTAAGCAATGCACAATAGCCTCCGTGAACGTGGGCCAGGACGCTCGGGGTGCCCGTCGGCTGCTTATTGGCAACTGAGGATGCCACTGGTGCACAGACGAAGAAAACACGAAAAGGGACCTGGAACCCGAGAAATGGAACCCCCTCTGCTCGTTGGGTCCCTCATTGATGCCTGTCTTTACGTTGGGGATGATCTGAAAAAGCTTGGAATGCGCGAGTTCACACTATTCTGTGAGAGAGCGCCTAACAACGGACCGGCGCGCCGCAGTGGCTATCTCTCCTTCTTGCCAACAAGAGGAGCACCAATTAGAAGCAAGAAAGGGTGGTGATGTGTCAAAAAGGACGAATAAGAGGAAGAGAAGTAATAAACAAGATAACAAGGAAGGAAACCTTCACCTTTGGTCTACAATGGACTCTAAGTCAGCACTGTGCCAAAAAAAAACACCATGGCAGATGTTTTTTTTTACACTGTGAACGTTTCATGATGATACAATGATCAGTAATATAGCAGAAAAGACCTCATTCTAACTGTTTTACTTAGTTAATGTTTTGTGTTCGCTAGTTTGATTGAAGTTTTATCTAAGTTAGCACAGCGCATCTAAACGTGTTGTAAACAAGTAAATAAATAAACAAATAAACAAATTATTAGATAGTTAGCTAACTGGACTTCACCTGTTTTAGCGTATCGAGGCTTTTTGCAGAGATAGTCGTTCTAGGCCGTTTACTGCTCACATCCATTTCCGAGTCGGTTGCTGAAAAAGAAAAACAGCATTAAGAAGGGTCATTGTAAGAATTTGATGATTTAGCAGGATCAGGTAGAGCTAAGACCCAAGCAGCGGGGAAGGAGCTCCAAAGTAGGGAAGTTACTCATGCTATGGTTTAAACACACACCATCGTCTCCACGGTGGTGGAAACATTGCGTCAAGGCTCAAAGGAATGCAAAGAGATGACAACCTTTTTGCGGCGAACAGAACAAAGTTCGCTGGAACTCTGTTGCGTGTAGCTGCTCCATCTTACAGCACTTCAGAAAACAGGAAGGACTGCTACGCGTTCAAATTCCCGCCGACATCTGTCACAAATGCTGGCGGTGGGAATGCTTCCACTTGGTTCACGGAGTGC